TCAAGATATTCAAAGAATTGCATTATAAAAAGTTTGACACGGTGTGAAAATCAACATTTTTATGTTAAATTTCTAAAAATTAGGTACTGAGCACATAGAACATTTTAATTCCGAGGTAGCGAAGTGTTGATAGAGTATGTCATTTCTCTATTTCTCCAGCTGTATTTGCCTGGTATTGATAGGGTATACCATTTCAGCATTTCGCCAATTCTCCATTTCACGATTTCTCCATTTTAACTTTTCTCCATTTCAACTTTTCTCCATTTCACCATTTCTCCATTTCACCATTTCTCCATTTTACCATTTCTCCATATCATCATTTCTCCATTTCACCATATTACTATTTGTCCAGCTGTATTTGCCTGGCTGCCTGGACTGGACCCGTCTGTGACGTCACTGTAGAAGACTGCCGGGCCAGGCCTTGCCTGAATGGAGGGACGTGCGCTGACCAGAAAGGTCAAGGTGACATCTGGACGTGCGCTTGTCCGGCAGGTGAGCTTGCTGATGAGTCATAGCGTTTTTGCTGTTGTTGTTGTTGTCGTCGAAGTTAATGTGGTTGTTGTTGTTGTTACTGCTGTTGCTGTTGTTGCTGTTGTTGCTGTTGTTGTTGTTGTTGTTGTTGTTGTTGTTGTTGTTGTTGTTGTTGTTGTTGTGTGTGTGTGTGGTAGCCTATCCGTTCGAAATGTTTGGAGCCCCGAAGAGCGTGCTCTTCGCCAGGGCCACCGCTTCCCTTTAGGTTAACATTTGTCGTTGTTACTGTTGTTGTTGCTGTTGTTGTTGTTGTTGTTGTTTTTGTTGTTGTTGATGATGATGATGATGATGATGATGATTATGTTGTTGCTGTGTTTGATTTATTAACTACTGCCATTTAAAAAAATCATTATTAGTAGTACTTTTATTTTAACTGTTATTTTTGTGATTGTTGTCGTTGTTTTTCTCGTATCTATTGTCTTTTCCCCCTCGTAAGCCCTGTTTTACAGCTTACGAAAGCTGTTCATATCATCATACTTCTCGCCCCCCCCCCTCCACACACACACACCCACACCAACATATAAAACAAACGGGAAAAGGGCAACAAAAAAGTAAAACAACAACAACAACAAAACGAACAAGCAAAAAAAAAAAAAGAAAATAAAAACCAAGACCCCCCCCCCCCCAACCCCCCGTTTCTTCGCCAAAGAAAAAAGATAAACAAAAGAAGAAATCAAATCAAAACAAAGCAAACAAAACAGAAAAAAATCCTCTTAAATGTCCCCAGGTTTTGGCGGCGTTGACTGCTCTGTCCCTGTGAACGCCTGTGAGCCCAACCCATGCCTCAACAAAGGGGCGTGTCGAGTTGACGTGGGCGGGGCCTCGTATGTCTGTGACTGCCTGCCTGGCTTCACGGGTGAGTGCTGCTTCATTTTATTTTGGGTCTCTTCTCCTTCTCTAACTAGTTTCCTTTTCTCTTCGGCACTTACACGACCTATTTGTGTTGCAAACGCCGTAAAACTCGCACTATACCTAAACTAAACTTTTTCAATTTCAAATTCTATGCCAGGTTCTCGATGTGAGGGCGAGATTGACGAATGCACCACTCTCAAACCGTGCCGTAACAACGCCACCTGTGTGGATCAGCTCAACGACTTCACGTGCCGCTGTGAGCCTGGCTGGGCCGGACGCACGTGCGAGGAACAAGTTCGCTACTGCTCGTCTCAGCCCTGTCTGCACGGCAGCACGTGCGTGGAGGTGTCAGGAGGGTACCTGTGTCGATGTCCCCCTGGATATGCTCGTGAGTTATTTACCTGCTTCGTAATACATGTGGGCCTAATTCAATTTTACTCTCACCTGTTAAGATTATGCTGAATACTGAAAGTGTAACGACCAACAGGATAACGACCAACATTGTAACGACCAGCATAAAGACTTACGAATGAAAGTTGGATGACTAAGACAATACAAGGCTATTACCAGCTTATCGAATTACAACTATATTTTTTTTCACTTTCGTCTGTCGTCTTTAAAAAAATCCTAACTCATTTATTAATTAATAAACTTTCATGACGCTTCTGTAGAGCAGCGACCAAATAAAACTATCTTTTAAAAAATCTTAACCCAGGAATAAAACACTTTCTCTATTTGGGCCCTATATTAAAAACTTCCATTTGGATGCATACATGGGACCACTAAAATAGATAATTTAAAATCACATAGTCTTCAGATTGCTCATTAGGAGACAGCGACGCCACATTGT